ATGGCGGCTGTTGGAGGAAACAATATGGCCGCCGCCAATATGGCGGCTGTTGGGGTGGGCAATATGGCTGCCGGCAATATGGCGGCTGTTGGAGGAAACAATATGGCCGCCGCCAATATGGCCGCGTCCAATATGGCCGCCACCACCACCAATATGGCCGCCGGTGGGGGAGACAATATGGCCGCCACAAGTATGTCCGCCATGTTAGAAAACAAAATGGCCGACGCCAATATGGCCGCCGCAAATATGGCGGGAATCCCGGTCTCGGAAAAGAAAATGGCCGACGCCGACGTGGCCGCCATGTTGGAAAACAACATGGCGGACGCCGACGTGGCGGAGCTCAACGTGGCCGCCGGATCCAAGATGGCGGCGGGGCCCCGCCCCTTTTCCTGCGCGCTCTGTGGGCGGAGCTTCGCCTCGGGGGCGGGGCTAAGACGTCACCAGCGACGTCATGGCCCCGCCCCCACGGGCACGGCGTAAGCCCCGCCCCCTTTTTTTTGGCGGAAGCGGGCGTGGTTTGGGTTCGTGGGCGTGGTTTGTGCGTGGCCACGCCCACTTCCGGGTCACATGGTGTCAATAAACGCTGAGTCAGCGCCGGCGGCTGCGGCTGAGTTTGTGGGGGGAGGGGAGCGGAAATGACCCCAAAATCGCCCGAAACGACCCCGAAAATTGGGCGAAATGTTCCCCAAAATTTACCCAAATATTCCCAAAAAAGATTCCCCAAAAAATTCCCAAAAAAGTCCCCAAAAATATTCCCAAAAAAATCCCCCAAAATTCCCAAAAATATTCCCCAAAAATTACCAAAAAAATTCACCAAAATATTCCCCAAAATATCCAAAATATTCCCAAAAATATTCCCAAAATTCCCTGAAATATTCCCCAAAAATATTCCCAAAAAATCCCCAAAAATTCCCAAAAATATTCCCCAAAAATTACCAAAAAAATTCACCAAAATATTCCCCAAAATATCCAAAATATTCCCAAAAATATTCCCAAAATTCCCTGAAATATTCCCCAAAAATATTCCCAAAAAATCCCCAAAAATTCCCAAAAAAATTCACCAAAATATTCCCAAAATTCCCTGAAATATTCCCAAAAAATTCCCAAAAATATTCCCAAAAAAATCCCCAAAAATTCCCAAAAATATTCTCAAAAAATTCCCAAAAATTCCCAAAAAATATCACCAAAATATTCCCCAAAATTTACCAAAATATTCCCAAAAAATATTCCCAAAAAATTCACCAAAAAATTCCGCAAAAATTCCCCAAAATTCCCCAAAATATTCCCAAAAATTCCCCAAAATATTCCCAAAAATTCCCCAAAATTCCCAAAAATATCCCAAAAAATCCACCAAAATATTCTCCAAAATATTCCCAAAATTCCCTGAAATAGTCCCCAAAAATATTCCCAAAAAATCCCCAAAAATTCCCAAAAAAATCACCAAAAATATTCCCAAAAACTTCACCAAAATATTCCCAAAATTCCCTGAAATATTCCCAAAAATTCCCAAAAAATTCCCCAAAATTCCCAAAAATATTCCCAAAAATTCCCCAAAATATACGAAAGAAATTCCCAAAAGTTCCCAAAAATATTCCCAAAAAATTCCCAAAATATCCCCAAAATTCCCAAAAATATCCCAGAAAAATCCCCCAAAATTCCCAAAAATATTCCCAAAAAATTCACCAAAAATCCAAAAAAAATCCAAAAAAATTCACCAAAATGTTCCCCAAAATATCTCCAGAATATTCCCAAAAATTCACCAAAATAATCCCAAAAAATTCCCAAAATATCCCCAAAATTCCCAAAAATATCCCCAAAAAATTCACCAAAAAATCCAAAAAAAATTCACCAAAAAATGCCCCCAAAAAATCCCCAAAATTCCCAAAAATATTCCCAAAAATTCCCCAAAATATCCCGAAAATGTCCCAAAATTTCCCAAAATTTCCACAAAATATTCCCCAAAAATTCCCCCAAAAAATCCCCAAAATTCCCCAAAATATTTCCCAAAATATCCCCAAAAATTCGCCAAAATATCCTCAAAATATCCCCCCAAAATCCCTCAAATATTCCCAAAAAATTCCCCAAAAATCCCCCAAATATTCCCAAAAATATTCCCAAAAAAGTGCCCAAAATTTCCCAAAAATTCCCCAAAATATCCCCAAAAATTCCCAAAAATTCCACAAAAAATTCCGCAAAAATCCCCAAAATATTCCCCAAAATCCCCAAAATATTCCCCAAAAAAATCCCCAAAAATTCCGCAAAAAATCCCCAAAATTCCCCAGAATATTCCCAAAATATTCCCCCAAAATTCCCAAAAAATATCCCCAAAAATCCCCAAAAAATAAAAAAAAAAATCCAAAAAAATCCCCCCCAAAATCCCCAAAATATTCCCCAAAATTCCACAAAAATCCCCCCAAAATTCCGCAAAAAATCCACAAAATATTCCCTAAAAATTCCCAAAAATATCCCCCAAAATCACCCAAAAATATTCCCAAAACTCCCCTCAAATCCCCCAAATCTCCTCCTAAAAATCTCCCAAAATCCCCAAAAATCCCCAAAAATCCCCCCAAAATCCCTTCAAATCCTCCCAAATCTCCCCAAAATCCTTCCTAACCTCCCCCAAAATCCCCCAAATTTCCCCAAATCTCCCCAAAATTCCCCCAAAATCCTAAAAAATCCCCAAAAACCCCCCCAAAAACCCCCCAAATCCCCC